CACCATTGTACGACCACTACCCGTGTCTGAAGTAGAAACAAGCCTGTATATACCTGATGTGACCCTCAATGTGAGACCACACCCCGTGTCTGAAGTAGAAACAAGCCTGTATATACCTGATTTGACCCCCATTGTACGACCACACCCCGTGTCTGAAGTAGAAACAAGCCTGTATTACCTGATGTGACCACCATTGTACGACCACACCCTGTGTCTAAGTAGAAACAAGCCTGTATATACCTGATGTGACCCCCATTGTTCGACCACACTCTGTGTCTGAGTAGAAACAAGCCTGTATATACCTGATGTGACCCCCAGTTGTACGACCACACCCCGTGTCTGAAGTAGAAACAAGCATGTATATACCTGATGTGACCCCCATTGTACGACCACACCCTGTGTCTGAAGTAGAAACAAGCCTGTATATACCTGATGTAACGAGATACAGCCATACACTGTAGTGGTTTTTAGAATTTAACACAGACGAGACTTCAAAACATGATTACAAATGTATCTAAATCCTAAACGGAATACACATTTAGCTCTACACACATGAAATAAGCTGTCGCATGACAGCCCAAACACCTCCTAAACACAACATTCCCTTAAGGTAAACATGTTCAGAAATTAACACGTTAAAACATGTTTCGAATTTAAACTTGTTTAAAGTTAAAATATTTTTAGAGTTTAAAAATGTTTACAATTTGAACATGTTTCAATAAAGTTCATATTATTAGGCAAAAAGTTAAAATCAAATATAGATACGATGTGCAAATCTGCTTCACAGGCACTTGCATAACACATATACCACCAGGAGTTACAACGACTTGACACCTGTGGGACCTCAGTCTCCGTGGCACAGATGGTAGCGTGAAGGACAACACATCAAGAGGTTCCAGGTTCGAATCCCACCCAGAATATGTGTTCATAAATGTGTTGTTACTTATGACTAATAATGTATCTCTCATACAGCAAGCTGACGATGAAAGTATATCTCATTACTACCATAGACTCTTAACGTTTTAAGTTAGCACCACAAATTAATAAAACAGCGGTGAACACGCCCCCTCCTCCACACACACAAACACACACACACACACACTTCTGTGTCCCCATTTAACGCAAATCAAAATATATACAGCACCCTTTTTAAATTACCTACAGTGAATGTCAAGAGGTGTATATGTTACAGTGAATGCCTATAATCAGTCAATATGTATATTGACAGAACACTTCAGTCAATATGTATATTGACAGAACACTTCAGTCAATATGTATATTGACTGATTCACTCAGGCAATGTACGTATTGACTGAAAAATGAGACTGGATTTTAGACAGATTGACTGAAATAAATTACACAGTCACTCCTTAATATGATCTCAACATTTTAATTCGGATCTACTTTGATCTTACGAAGATTAATTAAAAATTAATTAAAAATGTTTTCACAATGAATTGTTTGGTTGTTCGGACATGGATAATCCAGTCCTCTTTTACGTCACTTATCTTGATTCGTTTACACTTCTGATTTGAGAAGTAGAAGAGATTTGTACAGTTCTACAACCTCGCGGGTGATATTAGCATATTCAAACTTCTACTCGGAGTTGATCTTCTCACAAACAAACAAACAAACATATCCTGCAGCCAAATGAGTCTGAGGGAAAGTGTGAGATAAGAAGGACGTGGACAACCTGGCAATACTGGCACAAGCAGGGAGTGTAACGGTTTATCTGTTCAGTGAGCCTCCTACCTTCAACGTAGATTTCTATTTCCGTCACGTGCAGGCTGTTCAGTGTTCCTTGGTTCACATCCGGGTCCCAGTGCACGAAGTCCTGCACTGTGACGTAACGAGCTCTGATTGGATGATCACATTCGAATGCAAAGACAGAAGTTTTGTGTGTGCTGTGGGGTCCACCGCAAACATGGGCACCAAAGGTAAAGAAATCCCACTGTCGTCTGCTGAGCCACGTGACCGCATCCCAGAAGGCGTATGGTGTTGCCACTATGTGAGAGCACCAAAGAGTCTTAGTCAAAGTTGTTCCCAAGCAAACTGGAAAAATACTTTTTTCAAAAATCCCTAACTATCAAAAGGCACCAGTTCACCACTAGACCTATGTATGTGCCAAGTTTGGTTAAGATATCTGTCATGTGTTTTGAGTTCCTCTCTGGAAACGAAACGTAGCGGAAGGAGGGACAACGGACAGCACCCACTCCTACATGCCCCTTCCACTTCGTGGCTGGGGGTAATAAACAGACATGAGGCAGGTTCAGGGAAGGGAGGTCACTCTCAGTTTATTGCATAGAACTTGACATTTAGTTATGTATATGAAGTAGAGCACGACAATTACTCAAATAATAGCGTCAGCTTGAGACCGTAGTGCTGGGTCACCACCATGATGAAACACATTCACTCACGAGGGGCAGATAATCCGGAACTCACTGACATTTCAAGAGGGAAAACGAAGGAAAACGTTAGAAATATTAGGAAAGGGGCACGTTGCAAGCCACGAATCGCTTAGATTAAGACCCCGGGGTCTGCAACAGCTCGAAGCGCTTGCGCACTCTTCCAAAATGGAGGCGCAACTACCGCTTGGTCGCCTTGCCCTAGTAACGAACGTAATAGAAGAGGCTCGATGACCAGCCGATGCATAAGACTACTTTGTAGATGTGGAGCAGACTGAGGATGGTGCGATATCAGCTGCCTTTGCTAATTTCCCAGTTGATCCAGTCAAGAATTTCTTGTTCCACTGTCAAACGCAGCCGCCATTTTGGTTTGAGAACGAAGCGACCTCAGCCAGCGATTGTTGCGCTTGCAAGCGGCTGAAAATAAGCGCACCGTTGTTAGGCGAATCCCTGTGCATCGCTTGCAAGCGATTGGTACTTTGCAACGCACCCCAGATTAACCCCACTGAAGGCGTTCAGATAACGTCATGTTATCAATTTTCGACGTCATATTGAATTTTCTCACCAATAAAGCACCGCGACGTCATATGGGTTTAATTGACAAATCAGCAATGATAATCGCTTCAATGCAAATGTGAACATATCGGTAAGTTATCACAATCACTCTACCCAGAAGGGTAGTATAAGGTGTTATCTTTGCTGGTGTGCAGGAACTGAAAATAGCAAACAAAGAGAAAACAGTTTATCAGCCAAAACTTGCTCCCACTGGAGATATAGCTTGGGTGAAATTGCATGACAATGCATTGTGACATCATTGGTTACCATGACGTCACAATCAAATGACATCACTAATGGCTCTGCTACTGAAGCTGTAAGCAGGACATTTTACGCTTAAGACACTGCTTATTACTGTCTACAAGCTAAAAAAGTTGGAAGAATGATGTTGGATGATAGATAGAATCTCACCCTCTGGTCTTTTGATACCAAATATATCAACACTCGTTGATATTTGATATAAAAAGCCACTCCGTGAGATTATCTATATATTCTCACCGTTTGTAAGGTATACAATGACTTTGTAAACGATGACGTCACGCATGACGTCGACTTGTATCCAAGGTTCCACCAGAGGTCTCCGGCTAATGAAGGCTGCGTTAGCTGGAACAGTAACATGTGTACGTGTCGTTCTACTGTCGTCAGTAGCAAGCAAATAGTGTGTACAGTATACATCAAGCGCGTTTAATTGCAATGACAGTACAAATATTTCAGCAACATTACTGTTCCACATGTTTTGCTATAGTTACTTGTTAAACCGTCAACGACAGCTCTCCTGTCAGATCCCTCCGCCTCGGCGCAGGAATACAGCGGATAGCCAAGTGACGTCATTTTGTGCACGCGGGCAGATAACTCGGCTGAAACAAGTAAAAACAGACAATGTAGGCAATGTAACAAAGGTTTGAGATCGACACGACAGACACAGTGCAACTTCAAACGTCGCAGAGCACAACGTCAACGACAGACAGGAAGAGGAGAAGGTGTTACGTACGACAGACAGGAACAGGGCAAAGTTGAAGGCCTTCCGCTTCATACTGAACACAGACAGGCCCCCCGGGGGCGTCTTCCAGCGCCCGACAATAGCGCGCCTCAAGCAAGGAGCGGGCCACGTCTCCACCGACAGCGTTCCACTCCTTCGTCCTCGTCCATTCGTTGCAATACCCGCCGTCAGATAATGTTTCATGACGTCCCCGGTAGGAGGCGCCCTTGTCCTGTCTATCCCAGCATTCTCTCCGGGCTAATAAATGCAGAAACACGGATTAAACGAGAAGAATATCACAAATGCTTGTATTTTAGTAATACTCCACAAACGATGTTTTACGTGTTATGTCGACCGCACCTGCACGGAATGTACAACACAATGTAAGATGCTTACCATACGGCACATAGTGGCACAGCCCGAGGTTAAGGTCCTGGGTACCCGGTAGAAAGGTGAACGTGTGGGACTTGAGAATCATACCCTTCAGGGATGGGCAGGCTATAAACGAAGTTCTCTGGGGGTGAAAAGCATATTTTAGTCAGATAATAATTTCCTTGTTGAGAAAAAGTGCCTGGGGCATGCTGTACGTTACATGATAAAAAACATTCTGGTCAAGGTTGCTGTATTTTTTTTCCCCAGAACATATTGTACATCTGGATGACATGCGCACGCACTTATATACACTTCCCTCACTTCCCTATTCTTGTAGGTACACAGTTATGATGTCACACAGCCTATTGTGACGCAGAAAATATGACGCCACAGTCCGCTTAAATAAGGTGGTTACAATGTCCGACCTGGGCCCCGCTCCACAAAACGATCGTAGCGTTAAGACGATCGTAATTCCCATACTTTAACATAGATTTAGTCAGTCTTAGAGTTAAGATCGCTTTGTAGAACGGGGCGATATTGCCTCATCATACCACGACCGCCTGCATCGTTCTTCAAGTTGATTTCCATTCGTGTGGCTGGTCCAGGTTTCTTGACTTAACAAGCTACCGTGACATGGCTGGAATATTGCTGACTGCGGCGTTACAGAACATGCACTCACACACAGATCATCAACCATATATAAGCAGGCATAGCAGATCTAGACATTGGTGTTCGTAACGCGGGCACACCTGGAGTAACAGGAACGCCGACGATGTTGGAAGGTGGAAGGCGTTGTTCGGGTCTTCGTCGTCCCTGCAGCATAGACCCAGACTGAAGGACAACGTATCTGCTGAAAAGTCGACAAGGATGGCGGCGTCTCTGTCTGTTGTCGTCACAGCGTAGTTTGCAAGTGTCATGGCGTCGTAGCGGAAATCTGTGGAGGGCGAAGGCTGGGCTGAGAGTTTTGCTTAGAGTGCCCAGGAAAGTGCTTGGTATGAGAAACATGAAGTAGTTGCCATAGGCACTGATAAGAGACTAGCTTCCGTGTTTCACTTCGGACAATACATTGTAGCTGTTTCACATCGGACAATACATTGTACCTGTTTCACATCGGACATTACATTGTACCTGTTTCACATCGGACATTACATTAAAGATGTTTCACATGGGACAATACATTATACCTGTTTCACATCGGACTTTACATTGTACCTGTTTCACATCGGACAATACATTGTAGCTGTTTCACATCGGACATTACATTGTACCTGGTATATCGGACCATACATTGTAGCTGTTTCACATCGGACATTACATTGTACCTGTTTCACATCGGACATTACATTGTACCTGTTTCACATCGGACATTACATTGTACCTGGTATATAGGACAATACATTGTACCTGTTTCACATCGGACATTACATTGTACCTGTTTCACATCGGACATTATATTATAGCTGTTTCACATGGGACAATACATTGTAGCTGTTTCACATCGGACATTACATTGTACCTGTTTCACATGGGACAATACATTCTACCTGTTTCACATCGGACATTACATTGTACCTGTTTCACATTGGACATTACATTGCAACTGTTTCACATCGGACAATACATTGTACCTGGTATATCGGACTATAAGTTATAGCTGTTTCACATCGGACATTACATTGTACCTGTTTCACATGGGACAATACATTGTACCTGTTTCACATCGGACATTACATTGCACCTGTTTCACATCGGACATTACATTGCACCTGTTTCACATCGGACAATACATTGTACCTGGTATTTCGGACTATAAGTTGTAGCTGTTTCACATCGGACATTACATTGTACCTGGTATATCGGACCATACATTGTACCTGTTTAACATCGGACATTACATTGCACCTGTTTCACATCGGACATAACATTATAGCTGTTTTACATCGGACATTACATTGTACCTGTTTCACATCGGACAATACATTGTACCTGGTATATCGGACTATACATTGTACCTGTTTCACATCGGACATTACATTGTACCTGGTATATCAGACCATACATTGTACCTGTTTAACATCGGACATTACATTGTACCTGTTTCACATCGGACAATACATTATAGATGTTTCACATCGGACATTACATTGCACCTGTTTCACATCTGACAATACATTATAGCTGTTTCACATCGGACAATACATTATAGCTTTTTCACATCGGACATTATATTGTACCTGTTTCACATCGGATATTACATTGTAACTGGTATATCGGACCATACATTGTACCTGTTTCACATCGGACCATACATTGTACCTGTTTCACATCGGACATTACATTGCACCTGTTTCACATCGGAAATACATTACAGCTGTTTCACATCGGACAATACATTGTACCTGTTTCACATCGGAAAATACATTGTACCTGTTTCACATCGGACATTACATTGCACCTGTTTCACATCGGACAAAACATTGTGCCTGGTATATCGGACTATACATTGTAGCTGTTTCACATCGGACATTACATTGTACCTGTTTCACATCGAACATTACATTGCACCTGTTTCACATCGGACATTACATTGTACCTGTTTCACATCGGACATTACATTGTACCTGTTTCACATCGGACAATACATTATAGCTGTTTCACATCGGACAATACATTGTACCTGTTTCACATCGGAAATTACATTGTACCTGTTTCACATCGGACATTACATTGTACCTGTTTCATATCGGACTATACATTGTACCTGTTTCACATCGGAAAATACATTGTACCTGGCATATCGGACCATACATTGTAGCTTGTTCACATCGGACATTACATTGTAGCTGTTTCACATCGGACGATACATTGCACCTGTTTCACATCGGACATTACATTGTACCTGGTATATCGGACATTACATTGTACCTGTTTCACATCGGACAATACATTGTACCTGTTTCACATCGGACATTACATTGTACCTGTTTCATATCGGACTATACATTGTACCTGTTTCACATCGGACAATACATTGTACCTGGTATATCGGATCATACATTGTAGCTGTTTCATATCGGACATTACATTGTACCTGTTTCATATCGGACATTACATTGTACCTGTTTCACATCGGACATTACATTGTACCTGGTATATCGGACAATACATTGTACCTGGTATATCGGACCATACATTGTAGCTGTTTCACATCGGACTATACATTGTACCTGGTATATCGGACTATACATTGTACCTGTTTAACATCGGACATTACATTGTACCTGTTTCACATCGGACAATACATTATAGCTGTTTCACATCGGACATTACATTGCACCTGTTTCACATCGGACAATACATTTTAGCTGTTTCACATCGGACAATACATTATAGCTGTTTCACATCGGACATTACATTGTACCTGTTTCACATCGGATATTACATTGTAACTGGTATATCGGACAATACATTGTACCTGTTTCACATCGGACCATACATTGTACCTGTTTCACATCGGACATTACATTGCACCTGTTTCACATCGGACAATACATTGTACCTGTTTCACATCGGACAATACATTGTACCTGTTTCACATCGGACAATACATTGTACCTGTTTCACATCGGACATTACGTTGAACCTGTTTCACATCGGACAAAACATTGTGCCAGGTATATCGGACTATACATTGTAGCTGTTTCACATCGGACATTACATTGTACCTGTTTCACATCGGACAATACATTATAGCTGTTTCACATCGGACAATACATTATAGCTGTTTCACATCGGACATTACATTGTACCTGTTTCACATCGGATATTACATTGTAACTGGTATATCGGACAATACATTGTACCTGTTTCACATCGGACCATACATTGTACCTGTTTCACATCGGACATTACATTGCACCTGTTTCACATCGGACAATACATTACAGCTGTTTCACATCGGACAATACATTGTACCTGTTTCACATCGGACAATACATTGTACCTGTTTCACATCGGACATTACGTTGCACCTGTTTCACATCGGACAAAACATTGTGCCAGGTATATCGGACATTACATTGTAGCTGTTTCACATCGGACATTACATTGTACCTGTTTCACATCGGACAATACATTATAGCTGTTTCACATCGGACAATATATTGTACCTGTTTCACATCGGACATTACATCGTACCTGTTTCATATCGGACTATACATTGTACCTGTTTCACATCGGAAAATACATTGTACCTGGCATATCGGACCATACATTGTAGCTGTTTCACATCGGACATTACATTGTAGCTGTTTCACATCGGACTATACATTGCACCTGTTTCACATCGGATATTACATTGTACCTGGTATATCGGAAATTACATTGTAGCTGTTTCACATCGGACAATACATTGTACTTGTTTCACATCGGACATTACATTGTACCTGTTTCACATCGGACATTACATTGTAGCTGTTTCACATCGGACATTACATTGAAGCTGTTTCACATCGGACAATACATTGTAGCTGTTTCACATCGGACATTACATTGTACCTAGTATATCGGACCATACATTGTAGCTGTTTCACATCGGACATTACATTGTACCTGTTTCACATCGGACATTACATTGTACCTGTTTCACATCGGACAATACATTGCACCTGTTTCACATCGGACAATACATTGTACCTGGTATATCGGACCATACATTGTAGCTGTTTCACATCGGACATTACATTGCAACTGTTTCACATCGGACATTACATTGCACCTGTTTCACATCGGACAATAAATTGTACCTGTTTCACATCGGACATTATATTGTACCTGTTTCACATCGGACATTACATGGTACCCGTTTCACATCGGACTATACATTGTACCTGTTTCACATCGGACAAAACATTGTACCTGGTATATCGGACTATACATTGTACCTGTTTCACTTCGGACTATACATTGTACCTGGTATATCGGACTATACATTGTACCTGGTATATCGGAATATACATTGTACCTGGTATATCGGTCAGACAGTTCACGTAGTTATTAATGTATCTTATGGGAGTCACAGAAATCATAGCCCAGTTTGTCGTTTGTAATGATATCGAAATTCACATGGGCATACACACCCGCATATATGATTACGGCCATACGGAAATATTCACAAGTCTCACACATTGTTTGATCAAATCTGAACTGTTGCGTATTAATACTTGATATTATTTTGATAATCGTTGTTAGCATGCTAAAATACTGATATGTTGCAGTGATAGAGATTGTTGTACGTTTGTTGGTCAGTGACAGCAAATAATTGAGTGATGTTTAATGATGTCGAAATGTCAGTTGAATTTAGAATTACCTCCTCTGTTGTTTATCAACAAAACAGGTTTGATCGTTCGGGAAGTTTCAGGATGAGGCTGAGTTTAGCAGACTGAGAGGGGGAGAGTAGGGTTCTATGTCGGCCTGACTTGTCGAATCCCTGTTCGCGCTCATTATGTTTCTAGGTTTGTCAGCACCATACCCGTGCTCCTGGGTTTCACCAAATTGGTAAACGTCTGAGACCTGCATCACTGCGGGCTTTCCTCCCACATTAAGCCGACACGCCGTGATGTGACGGGAATACTGCTAAAAGCGGCGTTAAACCCAACTCACTCACTCACATACTCGTTTTAGCACAAAACAGAAGAAGGCATGAACACCTAAAATACCTAAAAAACCTCTTTATTCAACTGGATAATCAGCCTTTGCCTCTCTGTGCTGGACATTAACTGTTGTATCAAAATATGCCAAATGTGTGTTTATATGATTGTGAGCAGCGGACAGGTTGACTTACCTGTAGGACAATCCCCCGGGACGACCTTCACCAGGCAGTAGGACCCCCGGGGCCAGGTGGGACGGGAAACGTTGCCTGCCTCAACAATCTTCCCCCCACCCCCCTCATCCTCCATTCTCACACACAGGTTCAGCTGAATGGTCCGGTAATGGTAGGGTCCCAGCAGGGGCAGGTTGTTGGTCCACGTTTGTCTACCGTCGCTGCTGTTGTTGCCAACGTAGGTGAGGTTGATGAAGGTGGTCGTCCATCCATGGTTCTCACTCTCAGGGCATCCCGTCGAGGTGGACAGCAGACCGTATAACCCTACGGGCCAATCGCTCTCCCGCCTTTCTGAAAATAGCACGTGTGAACGTCAGAACTTGTATCACTGTTTCGGGAAACGTGCTGCAGATTTCAACAAGATGACAGTAATAATAATAACAACAACAATAAAGATAGAAATACTGAGCATCCGTCGTCTCACAGTCCTATCTGAAATACACTGAAGCACAACTTTCTTTCCCAGTATGCACCGACAGCCTTATATCAATGTATTTGGTATACACACACAGCCTTATATCAATGTATTTGATTGCATCGACAGCCTTATATCAATGTATTTGTTATACACCGACAGCCTTATATCAATGTATTTGTTGGAACGACAGCCTTATATCAATGTATTTGTTATACACCGACAGCCTTATATCAATGTATTTGTTGGAACGACAGCCTTATATCAATGTATTTGTTATACACCGACAGCCTTATATCAATGTATTTGATTGCATCGACAGCCTTATATCAATGTATTTGTTATACACCGACAGCCTTATATATCAATGTATTTGTTATACACCGACAGCCTTATATCAATGTATTTGGTATACACCGACAGCCTTATATCAATGTATTTGTTATACACCGACAGCCTTATATCAATGTATTTGGTATACACCGACAGCCTTTATATAAAATGTATTTGTTATACACCGACAGCCTTATATCAATGTATTTGGTATACACCGACAGCCTTATATATCAATGTATTTGGTATACACCGACAGCCTTATATCAATGTATTTGTTATACACCGACAACCTTATATCAATGTATTTGGTATACACCGACAGCCTTATATATCAATGTATTTGTTATACACCGACAGCCTTATATCAATGTATTTGGTATACACCGACAGCCTTATATATCAATGTATTTGGTATACACCGACAGCCTTAAATCAATGTATTTGTTATACACCGACAGCCTTATATCAATGTATTTGGTATACACCGACAGCCTTATATATCAATGTATTTGTTATACACCGACAGCCTTATATCAATGTATTTGTTATACACCGACAGCCTTATATCAATGTATTTGGTATACCCCGACAGCCTTATATCAATGTATTTGGTATACACCGACAGCCTTATATATCAATGTATTTGGTATACACCGACAGCCTTATATCAATGTATTTGTTATACACCGACAGCCTTATATCAATGTATTTGGTATACACCGACAGCCTTATATATCAATGTATTTGTTATACACCGACAGCCTTATATCAATGTATTTGTTATACACCGACAGCCTTATATCAATGTATTTGGTATACCCCGACAGCCTTATATCAATGTATTTGGTATACACCGACAGCCTTATATATCAATGTATTTGGTATACACCGACAGCCTTATATCAATGTATTTGTTATACACCGACAGCCTTATATCAATGTATTTGGTATACACCGACAGCCTTTATATAAAATGTATTTGTTATACACCGACAGCCTTATATATCAATGTATTTGTTATACACCGACAGCCTTATATCAATGTATTTGTTATGCACCGACAGCCTTATATCAATGTATTTGTTATACACCGACAGCCTCATATCAATGTATTTGGTATACACCGACAGCCTTATATCAATGTATTTGTTATACCCCGACAGCCTTATATCAATATATTTGGTATACACCGACAGCCTTATATCAATGTATTTGGTATACACCGACAGCCTTATATCAATGTATTTGTTATACACCGACAGCCTTATATCAATGTATTTGGTATACACCGACAGCCTTATATCAATGTATTTGGTATACACCGACAGCCTTATATCAATGTATTTGGTATACACCGACAGCCTCATATCAATGTATTTGGTATACACCGACAGCCTTATATCAATGTATTTGGTATACACCGACAGCCTTTATATATAAAATGTATTTGTTATACACCGACAGCCTTATATCAATGTATTTGGTATACACCGACAGCCTTATATATCAATGTATTTGTTATACACCGACAGCCTTATATCAATGTATTTGGTATACACCGACAGCCTTATATATCAATGTATTTGTTATACACCGACAGCCTTATATCAATGTATTTGTTGGAACGACAGCCTTATATCAATGTATTTGTTATACACCGACAGCCTTATATCAATGTATTTGTTGGAACGACAGCCTTATATCAATGTATTTGTTATACACCGACAGCCTTATATCAATGTATTTGTTATACACCGACAGCCTTATATCAATGTATTTGGTATACACCGACAGCCTTATATCAATGTATTTGGTATACACCGACAGCCTTATATATCAATATATTTGGTATACACCGACAGCCTTATATCAATGTATTTGTTGGAACGACAGCCTTATATCAATGTATTTGTTATACACCGACAGCCTTATATCAATGTATTTGGTAAACACCGACAGCCTTATATATCAATGTATTTGTTATACACCGACAGCCTTATATCAATGTATTTGTTATACACCGACAGCCTTATATCAATGTATTTGGTATACACCGACAGCCTTATATATCAATGTATTTGTTATACACCGACAGCCTTATATCAATGTATTTGTTATACACCGACAGCCTTATATCAATGTATTTGGTATACACCGACAGCCTTATATATCAATGTATTTGTTATACACCGACAGCCTTATATCAATGTATTTGGTATACACCGACAGCCTTATATCAATGTATTTGTTATACACCGACAGCCTTATATCAATGTATTTGTTATACACCGACAGCCTTATATCAATGTATTTGGTATACACCGACAGCCTTTTATATCAATGTATTTGTTATACACCGACAGCCTTATATCAATGTATTTGTTATACACCGACAGCCTTATATCAATGTATTTGTTATACACCGACAGCCTTATATCAATGTATTTGGTATACACACACAGCCTTATATCAATGTATTTGATTGCATCGACAGCCTTATATCAATGTATTTGGTATACACCGACAGCCTTATATATCAATGTATTTGTTATACACCGACAGCCTTATATCGATGTATTTGGTATACACCGACAGCCTTATATCAATGTATTTGTTGGAACGACAGCCTTATATCAATGTATTTGTTATACACCGACAGCCTTATATCAATGTATTTGTTATACACCGACAGCCTTATATCAATGTATTTGGTATACACACACAGCCTTATATCAATGTATTTGATTGCATCGACAGCCTTATATCAATGTATTTGGTATACACCGACAGCCTTATATATCAATGTATTTGTTATACACCGACAGCCTTATATCAATGTATTTGTTATACACCGACAGCCTTATATCAATGTATTTGTTGGAACGACAGCCTTATATCAATGTATTTGTTATACACCGACAGCCTTATATCAATGTATTTGTTATACACCGACAGCCTTATATCAATGTATTTGTTGGAACGACAGCCTTATATCAATGTATTTGTTATACACCGACAGCCTTATATCAATGTATTTGATTGCATCGACAGCCTTATATCAATGTATTTGTTATACACCGACAGCCTTATATATCAATGTATTTGTTATACACCGACAGCCTTATATCAATGTATTTGGTATACACCGACAGCCTTATATCAATGTATTTGTTATACACCGACAGCCTTTATATAAAATGTATTTGTTATACACCGACAGCCTTATATCAATGTATTTGGTATACACCGCCAGCCTTATATATCAATGTATTTGGTATACACCGACAGCCTTATATCAATGTATTTGTTATACACCGACAACCTTATATCAATGTATTTGGTATACACCGACAGCCTTATATATCAATGTATTTGTTATACACCGACAGCCTTATATCAATGTATTTGGTATACACCGACAGCCTTATATATCAATGTATTTGGTATACACCGACAGCCTTAAATCAATGTATTTGTTATACACCGACAGCCTTATATCAATGTATTTGGTATACACCGACAGCCTTATATATCAATGTATTTGTTATACACCGACAGCCTTATATCAATGTATTTGTTATACACCGACAGCCTTATATCAATGTATTTGGTATACCCCGACAGCCTTATATCAATGTATTTGGTATACACCGACAGCCTTATATATCAATGTATTTGGTATACACCGACAGCCTTATATCAATGTATTTGTTATACACCGACAGCCTTATATCAATGTATTTGGTATACACCGACAGCCTTATATATCAATGTATTTGTTATACACCGACAGCCTTATATCAATGTATTTGTTATACACCGACAGCCTTATATCAATGTATTTGGTATACCCCGACAGCCTTATATCAATGTATTTGGTATACACCGACAGCCTTATATATCAATGTATTTGGTATACACCGACAGCCTTATATCAATGTATTTGTTATACACCGACAGCCTTATATCAATGTATTTGGTATACACCGACAGCCTTTATATAAAATGTATTTGTTATACACCGACAGCCTTATATATCAATGTATTTGTTATACACCGACAGCCTTATATCAATGTATTTGTTATGCACCGACAGCCTTATATCAATGTATTTGTTATACACCGACAGCCTCATATCAATGTATTTGGTATACACCGACAGCCTTATATCAATGTATTTGTTATACCCCGACAGCCTTATATCAATATATTTGGTATACACCGACAGCCTTATATCAATGTATTTGGTATACACCGACAGCCTTATATCAATGTATTTGTTATACACCGACAGCCTTATATCAATGTATTTGGTATACACCGACAGCCTTATATCAATGTATTTGGTATACACCGACAGCCTTATATCAATGTATTTGGTATACACCGACAGCCTCATATCAATGTATTTGGTATACACCGACAGCCTTATATCAATGTATTTGGTATACACCGACAGCCTTTATATATAAAATGTATTTGTTATACACCGACAGCCTTATATCAATGTATTTGGTATACACCGACAGCCTTATATATCAATGTATTTGTTATACACCGACAGCCTTATATCAATGTATTTGGTATACACCGACAGCCTTATATATCAATGTATTTGGTATACACCGACAGCCTTATATCAATGTATTTGTTGGAACGACAGCCTTATATCAATGTATTTGTTATACACCGACAGCCTTATATCAATGTATTTGTTGGAACGACAGCCTTATATCAATGTATTTGTTATACACCGACAGCCTTATATCAATGTATTTGTTATACACCGACAGCCTTATATCAATGTATTTGGTATACACCGACAGCCTTATATCAATGTATTTGGTATACACCGACAGCCTTATATATCAATATATTTGGTATACACCGACAGCCTTATATCAATGTATTTGTTGGAACGACAGCCTTATATCAATGTATTTGTTATACACCGACAGCCTTATATCAATGTATTTGGTAAACACCGACAGCCTTATATATCAATGTATTTGTTATACACCGACAGCCTTATATCAATGTATTTGTTATACACCGACAGCCTTATATCAATGTATTTGGTATACACCGACAGCCTTATATATCAATGTATTTGTTATACACCGACAGCCTTATATCAATGTATTTGTTATACACCGACAGCCTTATATCAATGTATTTGGTATACACCGACAGCCTTATATATCAATGTATTTGTTATACACCGACAGCCTTATATCAATGTATTTGGTATACACCGACAGCCTTATATCAATGTATTTGTTATACACCGACAGCCTTATATCAATGTATTTGTTATACACCGACAGCCTTATATCAATGTATTTGGTATACACCGACAGCCTTTTATATCAATGTATTTGTTATACACCGACAGCCTTATATCAATGTATTTGTTATACACCGACAGCCTTATATCAATGTATTTGTTATACACCGACAGCCTTATATCAATGTATTTGGTATACACACACAGCCTTATATCAATGTATTTGATTGCATCGACAGCCTTATATCAATGTATTTGGTATACACCGACAGCCTTATATATCAATGTATTTGTTATACACCGACAGCCTTATATCAATGTATTTGGTATACACCGACAGCCTTATATCAATGTATTTGTTGGAACGACAGCCTTATATCAATGTATTTGTTATACACCGACAGCCTTATATCAATGTATTTGTTATACACCGACAGCCTTATATCAATGTATTTGTTATACACCGACAGCCTTATATCAATGTATTTGTTATACACCGACAGCCTTATATCAATGTATTTGGTATACACCGACAGCCTTATATCAATGTATTTGTTATACACCGACAGCCTTATATCAATGTATTTGTTATACACCGACAGCCTTATATCAATGTATTTGGTATACACCGACAGCCTTTTATATCAATGTATTTGGTATACACCGACAGCCTTATATCAATGTATTTGTTATACACCGACAGCCTTATATCAATGTATTTGTTATACACCGACAGCCTTATATCAATGTATTTGGTATACACACACAGCCTTATATCAATGTATTTGATTGCATCGACAGCCTTATATCAATGTATTTGTTATACACCGACAGCCTTATATCAATGTATTTGGTATACACCGACAGCCTTATATCAATGTATTTGTTATACACCGACAGCCTTATATCAATGTATTTGGTATACACCGACAGCCTTATATCAATGTATTTGTTATACACCGACAGCCTTATATCAATGTATTTGTTATACACCGACAGCCTTATATCAATGTATTTGGTATACACCGACAACCTTATATCAATGTATTTCGTATCATGGCTAAAACAATTGTGAAGTTTGTTTTACAGCAATTCAAAAGTGTCCGAGAGAAAATATTACAAGTTACATAAGTATATGCGATGTACATGAAAAAATATGTGCTGGTGTCGTTTTTCGAGAAAAAAGGTTCTGTTCCAAATAATGCTGATGGTGTTGGACAGCGCGATATAAGCCAGGCTACGCGTCCATATAAGCCACGCAATGCTGCGATATAAGCCTATAAACACAAAGATAAGCCACATGGCAATGTAATCCATGTAACGCATTGATGTAACTCACCCAATTCCATGGATAATGGTTTGCATCGATATTAGCTCGGCAACGAATCCTGGAAAGGGCATTCGTTCATGTACTACAGATTTGTTGATGTAAAGTGAGTTAGTTAAAAGTTAACGTCACATCGTGTGGATGTAAATGTCATCTTATTGGACTATGCGCGCACTTCGCCTTTCCTGTTGAAGTCATTGAGGTGGGAGATTTGTTTGTTTGTTGTTTAACGCCGCACTCAGCAATATTCCAGCTATATGACGGCGGTCTGTAACAAATCGAGTCTCGACCAGACAATCCGGTGATTGATATCGATCCACGCAATTGGGAAGCGATGACCTGCATCAACCAAAACAAGCATAGTCACCTTTTACGACAAGCATGGGTTCCTACACACCTATTCTACCCCGGATGTTTACGATCGAGAGAGAGGTCAGATAGATCAGATAGGTCAGATAGGTCAGAGAAGCACGTGTATTTACCAATGGAACAGAAAGTGCCCGTATATCCTGGTTCACAGTCGCAGACGCAGCTGGTGTTGTTAAGGACGCCACCGCTACCACACTGCAGCCAACGACATTCTGACAGAAAACACAAAACTATTATATTGACATGCCTTGATACACCACTGTTAGCGCCATTAATACCTGTTCTTGTTGTGTAACGCTATACGTGAACTTGAAGGGTATGTTATATCCCAGGAATACTCATGGTGATAAGTACTGACTACTGATTTCTAGATAGCAAACTGTGGTAGCCTAGTGGTGAAAGCGTTTGCTCGTCACGTTGAAGACTCGGGTTCGATTCCTAACTTGTGTGAAGCCCATTTGTAGTGTTCTCCGCCGTGATATTGCTTGAATATTGCTAAAAGCGGCGTAAAACCATACTCACTTATATGCAACTTAAGCCAGTGGTTATTTGATAATCGCTCATGTCTTAAATGATGTTTACACGCTTCGCTGACTGACCTGGCAGGAACCCTCTCACCTACCTGGCACGCCCTCGTCCCACAGAATGTACGCCGACACTGTCGTGAACGACAACAACGTCATGACAAAGGTGGTTGACATCGCCGGTATGCTTCTGGCCACAGACACTACCTGACTGGTTGTGGTACGTTTCCCAGTCCACCACTGCCGTGTCCGAGTGCGCCCGTGGGGTGAAGGACACCACGTTCTGTACGTCACCGTTGGATCAAGGGCACTACCTCCTGTACGTCGCACTGCGTCGTGATGGCCGACAGACACATGATCAGTTATAAACACGACTTGTTTTGACTACAGTAAGTCGCGGCTTGGCCATCGACTGTATGTTGATGTTACTGAATCTTCATCAGTGTTGTCGCAGTGGTGTCTAGTGTAGCTACGGCTGTGGTTGGTTGAAGTCGAGGTTATCAGTATAATCCCCCAGTGTCACCTGAGGCAAGGCTGTTATTTTGATTGGGAACATGAAGACACTTCTTCATTGTTTCTCAACACCAGGGCTTGCGCCAAGATCAGGTGATAAAGTGGAAGTAACGCAGCGAGCCTTGCAGGAGAAATGATGATAACATGGGTCAGATTCATAATCAAGGAAAATAAGTGAATGCGATTTATAATTCACAGGATTTGTCGTGGACAACGTGTGCACGCATGGGGATCAGGATGTGTGGTGGGTCTGTGTGTGGATCTGTGTGGTGTGTCTGTGTGTGGATCTGTGTGGTGGGACTGTGTGTGGATCTGTGTGGTTGGTCTTGTGTGTGGATCTGTGTGAGGTGGGACTGTGTGTGGATCTGTGTGGTTGGTCTTGTGTGTGGATCTGTGTGAGGTGGGACTGTGTGGTGGATCTGTATGGTGGGTCTGTGTGATGGGTCTGTGTGTGGATCTGTGTGGTGGGACTGTGTGTGGATCTGTGTGGTTGGTCTTGTGTGTGGATCTGTGTGAGGTGGGACTGTGTGTGGATCTGTGTGGTTGGTCTTGTGTGTGGATCTGTGTGAGGTGGGACTGTGTGGTGGATCTGTATGGTGGGTCTGTGTGGTGGGTCTGTGTGTGGATCTGTGTGGTGGGACTGTGTGTGGATCTGTGTGGTGGGTCTGTGTGTGGATCTGTGTGGTGGGACTGTGTGTGGATCTGTGTGGTTGGTCTTGTGTGTGGATCTGTGTGAGGTGGGACTGTGTGTGGATCTGTGTGGTTGGTCTTGTGTGTGGATCTGTGTGAGGTGGGACTGTGTGGTGGATCTGTATGGTGGGTCTGTGTGATGGGTCTGTGTGTGGATCTGTGTGGTGGGACTGTGTGTGGATCTGTGTGGTTGGTCTTGTGTGTGGAGCTGTGTGAGGTGGGACTGTGTGTGGATCTGTGTGGTTGGTCTTGTGTGTGGATCTGTGTGAGGTGGGACTGTGTGGTGGATCTGTATGGTGGGTCTGTGTGATGGGTCTGTGTGTGGATCTGTGTGGTGGGACTGTGTGTGGATCTGTGTGGTTGGTCTTGTGTGTGGATCTGTGTGAGGTGGGACTGTGTGGTGGATCTGTATGGTGGGTCTGTGTGATGGATCTGTGTGGTGGGCCTGACCACCCGATCCTGTTAGTCGCCTGCTACGACAAGCATAGCAGCCTTTTACGGCAAGCATGGGTTGCTGAAGACCTTTTCTAACCTGGATCTTCACGTGTCCACTCTTTGTAGTATTAGGTAACTAAACTGATTGACTGAATGACGAAACTTCTCCCCCCCCCCCTCCCTCTATTGTAAAACTTGATGATAGGACAATTTCCACGAAATACGCGTGTGTTGCCAGCAGGACTTAAACCGTGAAGTCTACACCGACAGCTGACGAAAGTAGTCTTCTGCCACGGCGACTTGGAAGCACTTTATGAAATAAACAACTATATTTACTTACGAATAGTTTACATCGTTTGTTATTCAATGCATTGTACGTACGTGTGATTTAACGCTTTTCGTTCAAAGAAACGAACAATTAGAAAAGACCTGACGCTTATCGTGACCACATATGTGTTTGGTTCTATTAATCCCATCAACATTGGTGATATTCTGGTCACTGATACATGTGCCCAATGTTGTCCGGGATATTTGCCTCGGGACGTGCATTTCTATAAACCGAGTCGCCGAAGAGCAAGATGCACGTGCGACATGCACGGCGATCATATTACACGTGCATCACGCAGGACCGACTCACATAATGTTCTCGCAGTTGAGCTCTTGATTGTCTTTTCAAATACGGTTATCCAAACGATAAACTTTAACATTTTAGGTGCTAGGGTTCATTCATTTCATCTTCCGAGGCAAGAGAGTCAACTGACTATAAAAATCCAGTTTCAACTCTTGCCGAACTAGGCTGGAATTTCTGGGGTCGATCGTAGCGCCACCAGTGGCTGGCACTACCATCACACAGGCTGGCACTACCACAAGCAATGAGTACCGTTTTATTGGCGTCAGTAGTTGTGTGCTGCGGTCTGGGACCGCTCCTGGCTTCTGATTGGTCGAGAGGATCTGTGACGTCACATCCGGTTTCGGTTTGGTCACGTGACTGCGCATGCGCACAGGGCATGAGGGGTCCTGCGTGCGCATCCAAGATGGCGTCGCATCCGTTTCCGGTGGCGAACGCCTCCAAGATGGCGGCACATCCGTTTCCGGTGGCGTGCGCACCCAAGATGGCGGCGCATCCGTGTCCGGTGGCGCGCGCCTTCAAGATGGCGTCGCCTCCGTGTCCGGGGAGGAGGGATGGGGAAAAACCCAGAGAAACGGTCGTACAAGGTGAACAAGAAAAGAGTTTTGTTGTTGTTGTTGTTCTTGTGTTGTTCTAAAAATAGAAATAGAAAAGGTGGTAGTGGTGCAGGGAGGGTGGTGGTGAAGGGAGGAGGGAGGGATTCAGGGAGGGAGGGAGGGAGGCGGGAAGGGAGTCGGGTTCTTTGTTTTGTTTTGTTTTGGTGGGTGGGTGGGTGGCGATGGCATGTGGAGATGATAGCTCACTGAGACGAGCTTATCATACACAGTCGACGACTCTGCCACTTTGTTGCTAGGTTGACGTCATATCGGCGAAGGATCTTGCAACAACATGTCACAAATCATGTCATCGGGTATGGTGATGTGTTTGTCAACTTTGAGGTGTAAGGTTTCGTTCCACAAGGCGATCGTGTATTGTAGCCCACGATGACAGCCGTTCGTCTAAGTTAAAAGTCGGGGAGTGGCGAATTTAAAGGGGCTCAAGGTGTTGGCTGAATTCTAACGGTGAATCGACAGGCACAGACATGAACGTGTTGTAGGTATATGTCTACGTGAAGTACTTCGTGTCACCCCCCATGCAAACGTGGTGCCACGCGTGACGACAAACAGACGTTGACGTTGATCCATAGGATGATTATTATCATTTATTTATTCACGATACCGAGGTGGTGGCACTCGTGTCGGTTGACAGGTGTACTGTCGTTCGTGTTGCCAGGCACCCGTAGTGTTTCACGCGTGTTGCCAGGCTAAACGTTGTGTCCTCTGTGTGTGTGTGTGTGTGTGTGTGTGTGTGTGTGTGTGTGTTCAAACAGACGTTGACGTTGATCCATAGGATGAACATTATTATGAATGACGCCGAGGAGTCGGTACTCGTGTAGGTCGACAGGCGTACTGTCATTCGTGTCTCCATGCACACGTCATGTACGTCGTGTGTTGTCATGCAAAACGTCATGTACTTCATGTTGCCATGCAATCGTGATGTCATGCGTGTGTGTCTTCAAACACACGTTGATCCACAGGAGTATTGATCCTATTTTGTATTTTATAAGGAGAGAGAGAGACCGATCGACATACGTGGTGTTTGACTCGTGTCTCCAGGCACCCGTGGTGTTTCACGCGTCTCTATTTCTATATATTTATTTTATCATTTGGAGACGTACCATGGTGGTGTCACGCGTAGGCGTGTGCCTCCAAGAGGACGAGGGGGTGGGTGTGGGTTCTTTTGGATGGTTGTTGTTTGGGTTGGCAAAGCAAGCAGGGTGGGTGTCGATTAGTCAGAACACCATGTGGATTCCATCATGTCTTA